TCATCTGTTATTTTTAGCACTAGGCTTCCTCCCCTCCCTCTCCCCCCACTTTCTACAGCAGACCATAACCTGAGCTCATTAAATGACTGTAGCGTATTAGCAATAGAGGGGAGACTTCCGCACTGTTTTCATGATATTGCTTAAAAAATGGGAGGTTTCCTTCTTAATTTTGTTCTTAGTACTTTTTTCTTTTGCGGGGGAAGTTAATTCCTTAGAGCGAGTTTTCTTCATGTCATTTTTCTGTTTTGTGTAGGATGTTAGAAGGAATAAAAGCTCAGTCTACATAGAAGTTGAATGTTTGTTTTCGTGTCCTGATATTTATCTTAAAAAATAAAAGAAATGTCTAGGGACAATGATCAGTATTTAAGGAACTTAGAAAAAGAGGAAAAACAGTCTTGGTTTAAGGGAATTGATTTTGGGCATTTTTAGTGTTTGATAATGTTCAGAAAAAAATCTCCAGAAATTCCCTGATTGATGTGATGTCAGGTAACATTACTGTATTAGTGATGATGGTGATGGAAATTCCCGAAGTAGAATTGTAATAGCTACAAAACTGTCTTCTGTTTCTCCCTTTACATTTGTAAAAATGTATCTTTATCTCCTACTTTATTCATCTTTTGAGGGGTAATTATAAAATATGTTTATCTTTTTCATTAACATTGCTTAAAGTTTGAGGGCGTCTGGGTGGCTCTGTTGGTTATTAAGCGTCTGCCTTCGGCTCAGGTCGTGATCTCGGGGAGTGTGGCATTGGGCTCCTTGCTCAGTGGGGAGTCTGCTTCTCCCTCTCCCTCTGCCCTTCCCCCCTGCTTGTGCATGCTCTCTCTCAAAATCTTAAAAACATTGCTTAAAACTTGGGCTGAGCTCTGTACATCAAGGCTGGTAGAAGACTGAAATACAAAATGTTCAGTAAGAATAGGGCACCCAAGTAGATAGTTTTACATCCTTCCATGTTGAACACCTGGGGATTTGTGGGGAGAAGTAAAGGTGACAGGTGAAACTTTACATGAGAGTTGCTGCGGTAGGTTTCAGAGAGTGCACAGACGTTGTTCAGGGGCTGCATTGTAAGTGCCTGATAGAAGCTTATTCCCACGTGTTGCTCACCTCAGGATCTGCTCCGGGCCTTTGCTGGTCTGGAAGGGTGAGTCACTCCCCTCCGGGGGCTCCGTTTCCTCTGCTGAGAAACAAAGGTGTGGTAATGCTGTTGCCTACGCAGGCTCACTGCATATGTTCACAGACTTTCTCAGTGTCACGAGGTCTGTGTGAGCTTGTGGATAAGCCTTTTTGCTTCCCTCTTCCCTCTAAGTAACCCAAGCATCTGAATCCATGTCCTCACTCTACTTTCACCCAGTATTCTCCCAGTTCCTTCTCTACAGCTTCGGTGAGTCTGTCGAAAGAAAAATCAGGTATTTCATTGTTTCTTATCCAACCACAAATCCTCATTTAACCTCCATTGGCGAATCCTCTCTAAGAGAACCACGGCCTTCAAAACAAGAGAGATACTGTCTTTGAATACGGAGCAGCTGTGTGGCTGATGATGACTGACTCTGCTGTAGAAATCTGTGGAGGTGAAGGCTGGATCAGTCAGGGTTCTCCAGAGAAATGGAACCAATAGGATGTATGAAAGAATATGGATAAAGAGATTTATTATAACGAACACAGTCACATGATTGTGGAGACACCCAAGTCCCAAGATCTGCAGCATCAGCAAGACTCAAAAATAGTACTGTTCCCATTCTAAGACTGGCAGACTCGAGACCCAGGGTGGGCTGATAGTTCAGTTCAAGTCCAAAGTCAGAAAAAAAAGCCAATATCCCAACTGGAAGGCCACCAGGTGGGAGGAATTCTCTCTTCCTTGGGGAAGGGTCAGCCTTTCTGGTCTGTTATTTAGGCCTTCAACTGATTGGTGAGACCCATCACCTTGGGGAGGGCCGCCAGTTTTACTCAGCCTACCCATCTAAATGTTACTCTCTCAAATTCCTTGTATCAGTGAGATCATATGATAATTGTATTTCTCTGATTGACTTATTTTGCTTAGCATAATACCCTCTAGTTCCATCCACATCGAAACAAGACAGAGGATCATAGGGGAAGGGAGGGAAAAATGAAATAAGACGAAACCAGAGAGGGAGACAAAGCATAAGAGACTCTTAATCTCAGGAAACAAAATGAGGGTTGCTGGAGTGGAGGGGGTGGGAGGGATGGGGGATGGGGTGGCTGGGTGATGGTCATTGGGGAGGGTATGTGCTATGGTGAGCACTGTGAATTGTGTAAGACTGTTGAATCACAGACTTGTACCTCTGAAACAAGTAATACATTATATGTTAATTTAGAAAAAAGAAAGATGAACTTTAGGAAGTAATTATTCTATGAAAGCTTATCTTTTCCAGGGTGAAACTGATAGATACTAGCAGTGCTTGAGACAAAAAAACAAAACAAAACAACAGCACTAAATAAATGTTACTCTCATCCAAAAACACCCTCATAGAAACACCCAGAATAATGTTTGACCACAACTCTGGACACCTGGTGACCCAGTCACTTTGACACATAGAGTACAATCTGTCACAAAGGCTGAGTCAGGATGAACGTGGGAAGCATTGTTGAAATGGAGAAGTCATAAAGTCCCTTCTCATTTGTATTTTTAATTTAAAATTAAATTTCGACCTCTACCATGTACAGTATTGATTGAAATGCTAGTTCTCTTGAAACATAATTGCATATGTTAATGAACTTCTTCATCTCTGTAAGGTTTGCTTTAGGCTCTCTGGGTCCCCCAAGCTCTTCTTCCTTCCAAATGACGTTAGCATTTGAATCCGTTTTCTTCTCATGAATTTACCTGCATTTTGTCCCAAGTTTTGGGTGGAGATGTCGAGGCATGCTGAAGATGATCACAGCGTTTCTGGCAAGATTTTAAGACTGCCTGTGTAAAGCTGGGCTGGAATGGTCTTTACTTTCCAGTGATGTTTTGATGTGTAGTCACATAAATACGTTAAGTGACGCCTTTAAAAATACTTTGTAAACCGCAGAATTCAGTGAAAATATGAGTGTCATCTTTCCTGATCTCTCATGATTGGCGTGGACCCAGATTTTGTTTTACTTTATATTTTTGTCTTTTTACTCCACCATGGATGGCATGGGCTTCTTCCTCTTGTGGTATCCAACGCCTGATTGGTTTTCTGTCCTCTGATGCTTCCATCCGCAACACAGCCCCTAGGAATTATCTTGTACAGCGGTTTCACGTGGAGGTATAAAGGAGGGATACGCTTTAATACACTACCCAATCTGGAAACATCTACGTATTATTAGAAGACAAAGAATGCATCTGTAATGGTGGATTTTCAGGAATCACCTAGAGAAGATATGTGAGAGGCAGAACTGGGAGTATAGTTTTCACTGTGGCTTACAGCTTCTGGTAGGTGTCAGTTTATGGTTGCATACTGGCCATTTGTTACTTCTGGAATCTAGAATTGGCAAGATCAAGAAGAGATTTGTAGTTTCGACTTGGACTGGCTTGTTGGTCTAGTGTAGTGGTCCTCACTGAGGCTATGAACCAGAATTGCTGGAGTTGCTTTTGAAATGTAAACTTCCCTAGCCTTCACACTTCATGAGTAGGTTCCTCATGTATCTGGCCTGGACAAGTTTATTGATAAAAGCCAACAGGTCGTTCTAGTATTCCTAAAAGGCTGACACCAGGTGGCTATCACGTCGCTAATACGGATGTACAGAAGCTTACACAAGGTTAAATTTGCCGTGGACATTGAGAATTTTCGGTATACTCTGGGACTTCGTTGTTTTGCTGACAGACCATGATGAATCAACAGGTCATTTTAGATCCGGTAGCCATTGTATTTCTTCCATGTAGAGAAGGTGCACAGTGACCTTCCTATGAAATCGATCCAGAGAAACTGGGTGGGGGGGTGCGGTGAGGAATAGTCAGAGTTTGTATTGCTTTTCTCTCGAGAGAGACTGAAGGGACCAGAGTGTTCAGTGTTGGAGATCCTTCAAAATATCATTTATCCAGAATTAAGGATTGGCCTGGAAAGTTTGCTGTGAAGAGTTAGAATCTGCTTGGAGGCTTAACCAGGGCCAAACCAGTGATGCGGCCGGTGGTGCAGGGGAAGTGACATGTGCAGCCTCATGACAAGCCCCCGCTGCAGACCTTCTCCTGAATGTGGAGATTGTTCTGACTACCGTTGGAAGGCCAGCTCTCCGCTCTGTAAACCGCAGAATTCAGTGAATCCCTGTGTTGGCAAGTTTCTAGAGCCTTCTTCACCTTTTGGTTTATCTTTAAATGAAGGTAATACTTACATGTGAATGTGTTTTGAACCTTGGAAGGAGGGAAAGTGGCCCTCAGAATTTGACTGTCTTTCTTTACCAGTTCACAGTTTCAGCTTTGAAGAAGCACATAGGTATTTCAGTGGTGTAAAAACGCGTTTTAGTTTCATTCAGATGTATAGATGGCGATTATTCTGTAATACACTTAAAATAGGAGTAAAAGCTCTAATTGCCTTTACCCCTGAAGCCCATTTGCTTCTTACTACTTTGAGTCGTTTACTCAGAATGCACGGCAACGTGACCGTGTGTCCATTATACGGCATCTGTTTGTGTGCAGTTCACTTAATCTGGTTTAAGATCGGAGGCTGGCGATGTGTAGGGAAATTAAAGTGAAGTAACTGACTTACAGTTGTGTATCCTGCCTTCAGTTGGCCCGGCTTAGTGTGCTGGAGTTCTCCAGAGGTCATGCAGTTTTGGCGTGGTTTTGGATTGGGACCACCGGCTTTGTTCTGTTTTGGGCCGTCCTGATGAAGTCCAGTGCTGTCTGACCCACTGTGTTTGGGCAGGAGGGCTTGCGAGGGGCTGAGCAGGGACGGCTCATTTCAGCCACGCAGCACCAGCTGAAACAGATTGTTCTTGAAGTTTGTGAAAGGGATCATATTTTTGGTTGGACCCATGAAAACTTCTCATTGTCATTTCAGTTACCCCTCTTCTTTCTTAAACAGATCCAGCAATGGGAGCAGAACCTGGAGAAGTTTCACATGGATCTGTTTAGGATGCGTTGCTATCTGGCCAGCCTACAAGGCGGGGAGCTGCCAAACCCCAAGAGCCTCCTCGCTGCTGCCAGCCGCCCCTCCAAGCTGGCCCTCGGCAGGCTGGGCATCTTGTCGGTTTCTTCTTTCCATGCTCTGGTAAGTTCCTGGGAAGGGCTGTTTGTGGCATTCAGGGAGGATTGCGGACGCTCACCTTTTCCCAGCTGGTTGCCCTTCAGCTGTCCTGGGACTTAACCCAGTACTGCCCAGGGGCTCCCCCCGCCCCCCCGGGTGGGGGGCGAGACTCTGCGGGGATGGAGGGTGGGAGGCAGCCTGCTCTAGAGAGTCCTGGCTTCTCTGCCGCCACTTCTAGGAACCCAGCTCCTCGTAGATGGTTATGAAATATTCACATCTGCATCTGCCGTTCTGTTTCACGTCCTACAGTCAGGAAGGTGGAAATCCCTGAGGAGCAGCAACAGGGGTGTGAAGAATGAAAAGGCTGAGCGAAGGGGGTTTTGTCTGTCCTGCACAGAGCCCCACTGGATTTTCCACAGCAGCTCCTGGGTGGCTGGCTTCTTTGGCTAGTATGAGAGCTCCAGCCTGGGGGGCTCTGTGGATTGTTTTGCCGGCCCCACTGCCCGCCCTGGAGAGATCTGAATGTTGTAAGTAGGCTGGCGTTATCCAGATAAGAGATAGCCAAATGGTGGATGCACGTGTGGTATGTCAGACATGCAGTAGCTTTTGGCCAGCACATGATGGTTACAGCAAGCAGGGCTTACTTCTGTTCAGGCAACTGTTAATTCTGTCACCCCAGATAATGTGTCTTAAGATTTTTAAAACTGTGTTTTTAATTAGGTATGTTCTAGAGATGATTCTGCTCTCCGGAAAAGAACACTCTCACTGACCCAGCGAGGAAGAAACAAGAAGGGTATATTTTCTTCATTAAAAGGGCTGGACACACTGGCGAGAAAAGGGAAGGAGAAAAGACCTTCTGTAACTCAGGCGAGTTCCTCAGGCCAGGAGGGACAGCAGACTTAGTGGGAGATCCTTGATAGTCAGCAGATCATAAATGCTCGTCATCCGTTAAGAATGAGATGAAAGTTGAGTCAGAGGAATGCGGTCCTGGCATGGGCTTTTTCCAAATGGGAACACACAAGTCGCCCAGCCTCCTTTTGGCACTTCCGGAAAGGTATTCACACCTTGCTCACAGCTGCAGCTCCAGGCACATGTAATCAGATGAGAATCCACACTTTTCATTGCCTTTAGAATATTTTTCCCCCCTAAGATTTGATGTTAAAATAAACATGTCAAATTAATAATAGAGTAATGGCAACCAAATTCTATTGATAGTGCTAGACACTCTTCTCACTTAATCTTTCTGACACAAAGGAGGCATTTTGTCATCAGGTTTTTAGAGATGAGAAGCCTGAGGCGTGGAGAGGTCTGTCACTTCCTCAGCCTTGTTCACCCCGTGCCCGTGGGGCAGGGCTGGCCTCGATCTTCCTGGATCCAGGACTCTGTAGCACTGGGCTGTTGGCAGCTGCTGAGTGTCCTAGAGGAAAGACACCTGTTTTAATATTTTGTTTTATTTTAATTAATTTTAAAAAGATTTTATTTGGAAGAGAGAGCACAAGCAGGGGGAGGGGCAGAGGGAGAGGGAGAAGCAGACTCCCCCCTGAGCAGGGAGCCGGATGCAGGGCTCGACTCCTGGATCATGACCTGACCGAAGGCAGAAGCTTAACCGACTGAGTCCCCCAGGCACCCCTGTTTTAATATTTTAAAAATAACGTGAGCACTCATCGCTGAAATGGGGCTCACGTATAGTGAATTGTCTTCAGAACATTTTGAATACTCCTATCTGAAGTAGTTCCTAATGACATTAATATAGTATATGATAATGAATTTTATGTTGCAGATTAATATGTTTTAGGATTATTATTTTTTCAAAGACTGTTGAAAAGATGAGTTCTTCATGTGTTAATCTGATCATTTAAATGGAAAGGAAAAATGTGATGAAGTCTGAAGAAATTCTTGGTTTTACTTTTAACATGTTATTCTGAATAGGCTTCCAGTGTCATCTGGAAGAGAGGGTCACATCTCATGGAACTTGATTTTCTGATTTTATATGGATATTTATTTGATTGTGTATCCTAGTTTTGTGAATTGCGTGAATCACAGATAGAAGCCACTCCTTTGACCTGTTTATAGCCCTGGAACCATAAAGGAGGAGTGGTGGACAAAAACACATGAGCCCTTTTCCATGGTCTCTGTTTTGCATATTACTGTACAATTTTTATATACTCCTATACAATGGAAAAGAATATCACATTTTAAATTGTGGTTCTACTTGTACTTTAATTGTAAAGTAATCGTGTGTTGGTTGTAAGTGGGAAAATATTTCTTCATTATAGATGATAGCCACCTATATAACCATTGGCTAATGCTAGGCTTATATTTTTGAATTGAACTTCTGTGAATGTATTTGAGGCAAATTTTGGTTTTAATCAAGACAGTCAATTCTATATAATTAAATGATAATGGTAAATAACTTGATAACTTGCTCCTTTTTCTTAAGTGTTGACATTCAGCTAACTGTATCTGAGCCTAATACGGTCTTTATCCCATCCGATGTGGTAAATGTTCTTAATGTAAGATTTCTTGAGAAGCAAAAGCATTTGGTTGAACATTTTTGTTTTAAAAAGATAGGAAACTAATCGCAGTATTTGTATTTATGTAACTGAATGACGTAGATGTGGGTAGGTATCCATAAATGTTTAAACGGCAGTTCTTTAATGTTTGTTATTTCACTACAAAATCTGGAAGATAAGAATTAGAAAAAGGAAATTATTCCTCATCCCTCTACCCAGACACAACCACTGTTAATATTTAGCTATATTTCTTCCCTATTGTTGTTCTGTGCACATTCGGAAAAGAGTTACGAGCTTGATTTTGGTGGTTTCGTGAGCCCAACTTTGAGCTCTGTTTCACATCTTCAGAAATGTGTACTTCTTGGTTAAAAACAACATCAAGAAGATCCAGGGTTACTGGAATAATATATGACATTATAGAAAAGTAAAATTTGTAACCGTATGGGAAGTAAAAAAAGCAACTTTTCCTTTAAAGTTAAAACTTTAAATGTGGTAGAGTAGTAATTAGTATAAATTGTGATGTGAAGATTCTATAAAATGTTATGGAACATAAAATTTTAAATACTGAAAAAGGGTAGCTGCCAAATGAACATTGCAGAGCCATTTCATTAGCCTTTGATTCAAGTGGCGGTAGGCATTTTCTGGAACTCAGCAATCCCAAAACTCCCAATAACTCCAGTGAGGGGAACATTGTGTATGTAGCAGCCATCTTGTTTTACGTTGATGACGCAAGTGCTAAGTTAAGCGGGCAGTGCTGGTTCACGATCTTTATGTGAATCTCTTGAAAATAAATTTAGAATTCATGTGGTCCCTAGTGCGTAAATAAGAGAGATCCTCAGAATGCCAAGTAATTTTGAAGATCTCTAAATTCATGGTAACCCTATCTTAAAAGTGGCATGGCTAGATTAAGATCAAAATAGCAACTTCCATTTATACTTCCCTATTGCTCAGCAATGCTTACCCTCGTTTGAGAGTTTGGTGAATCCAAAATTGCATTTTCCTCTCAGGGTGGTTAGAGAGCTTCACACAGACAGTACATCCATGCTGTGAATCAGCAGCCTTTGGATCACCAAGTGCCCTCAGTGGAGTTGAGCGCAGGGAGGGTCCTTGTCTAGACTCCAAAAGAGTTTCTGACTAAACAACTCAGAACCATTTCTGAGTGGAATTAATCATTTCTGAATGGAATTATGGAGTAGGGCAAACAAACAAACTTACGCTTTTCCTTTGGGGTTTTTTCAAATCCACACCTTCCCCTTACAGCTGTGTTTCCTGTTACTGAGCGATTTCTCTGTCTTCTTCACTAAATCGTTTTATTTTGGGTTTTCTGTCCAATAAACTTCTCAACTATTTGTAGAGGTTGAAACCTGATTTTAATAGGCTTGGACAAATTTAATATGCTTTTGCAGAAGTTGGCAGTATTACTTAATAAATTAATTGGGATAATTTGGCCACTTGACAATTTAGCTGGAAAAAACTTGAGGAATGGTTGAGTATTACACTGTTGATGGGTCCAGAGGGGAGGTAAGGGAGGTACTTTCTGGTGATCCTAAAATAATACAACACAGACAGCTACCTGTTCTGCCTTCATGTGAGTCTGGCCTGGACTGTGGGCTGTTCAGTGTGCTATTTTATTGTTGACAGTGCTCCTAGTGGGCTGCTCAGCCTAAGGTGTCCTGAGATGGGGTAGAAAACCTCCACTCAAAGCCCCATTCCCCTTCACCTCCCCTTCTCAGAGATCAGGGGCTGCAAGAGTGTGGGTATGAGACGGAATGGTTCATGCCAGGGGTCATGTTGCTACGTTGCTCCTCTCTGTTCTTGGTGATCTCGTTTTGCTAGATCTGACCAACCGTGGGGCCACAAGGATGCCAAGTCCAAACCTTCCTTTTTTTAAGATTTTGTTTATTTATTTATTTATAGTGTGAGCAGGGGCAGGGGAGGGCAGAGGGAGAGAGAATCTCAAGCTGAGGGCAGAGCCCTGAGCCCCCATGTGGGGCTCAGTCTCACAACCCTGAGATGATGACCTGAGCTGAAATCAAGAGTCAGGTGCTTAACCAACTCAGCCACTCAGACGCCCCTCAAACTTCCTTTTTATAAATCATACCATCAAAATCTCAGACTTCTATAAATGAATATAAATCATTTCCATTCCCTGCCCCTTTATTTCTATACACTGCAGAGCCTATTTCAAAATCCAGATCAAATTACCATCTTTTTTTTTTTACTTGATTAAAAAAATTATATCACTATTATAGGTTTCCCCATGGATCAGAAGTAGATCATTCCTTGAAACCTTTCATAAACTGAAATAGCATTAGGTGAAGAAGCAAATACCGTTAATTTATATGGAAAAATTTTGAGCATTCCCAGAGCCAAAAAGTAACATTTTGGGCTTTTCTGATACTTTAGGGCACATCCTGCTAAAGGATGCACAAAATAAATCGAGGTACAGCTCAGATGCTCAGACACAGTTCAAAGCTCTGGTGGGTTGATGCTCAGATGACAAGTGTAGCTCCCAGGGAAGGACCTTGGCCCTGTCCCTCTTGCTACTGGGGTGTGCGCGCATGCATGCTGTCTCTCGAAGGGCTTACTGCTGCAAAACAGGCACTGAATGTGTTTCTGCTTTTCACCTGATTTCATCAAAGTGAGTGAAAATCTTCTATGGATTTCTTTCAGTTAGCTCTAACAGGTACAAACAGATCTTTCATGAAAGCGAAGTGACACAATGTGAACTATAGAAAAGTGGGGGACACCTCTGTTTCTTTGGTTTGCTACCTCTTACCCTCAGTGATGTGATGAAGCTGTGTCTCCCAGGCAGGCTTGTAATTGGGACCCTTGCTCTGTATAGTTTATATTTTATGATTATGTATATATTCTCAGTCCATAGCACACTGCTGAGGATAGAGTATCGTTTAATAAATCTGCCTATTGTCTATATCAGGTGCAGTCCTTTAATAATAGTTGAGAAGAAATGTTTGATCTGTAATAAAAAACATAGTTTGAAGGTTATATCTCTTCCGTCGCTAAATAATAATTTAAAATTGCTACTTTGAAAGCTAAGAGATTCTGCCATGGAAGCATTTTTTATTAACTGAAGTTACGTCAGGCTTTGAAAATAAATTTTGCTAAAAAAGCTTTTGATGGTCAGAATTAAGCTTAGTGCTTATTTAAATTGTGCTCAAATTACTAGATGATCTTCTTGTGATTTAATTGGTAAGTCCCATTGGCGCTATAATCAGTGAGAGGAAAATATTGCATCTGTTTTTTAAAGCATATACACTTAAACATTTATTCCTATTTTAACTAAGAATTGCCTCTGGTGTAGGAACACTGAACGAATTCTTTTGACATATAGGGCTACTTTAATTGTGTATTTATCATTTCTGGACTGCAGAACTCAGATAACTAGGTTTAAATTGAGTTGCAGGTGGAATGAAGGGCATTTGTTTTTTTGTATCTCTGGGACTTAAAATTCTGCCTGTAGCTGGTTGAATCATATCTCACTAGTTTTCCTCTGCTAATCATTGTTGGAGAATATTGATAATTTGCACAGAGCATCTTCTCGTGTATAGCCAGTGTATGATGTCCATTAGCCATAAAGAAAGGCAGCCAAGTTCCTGAGCGTCGGGAGGGAGGGGTCTCGGGCATTTTTAACTATTCCACTCTAATTGGTGCGTCATATAACAGTCCCAACA